TTAATTCTGAACAACTTTAATTAAAAGCTCAAAAATAAAAATAATCTTAATATTTAGAAAATTGACTACAAATAATTATGACTATACACAATTAAATCTATTTCTAGATTTGACTATATAGTAAAATAATATAATATAAAAACGCAAATTAGGATAGATATGTTGAAATCAAGATAATATATATGTATAATTTGCAATAGAAAAAAATCATTAAACTCATATTATTTTTACTAACCCTAACTATTGCTTATAAAAATTAAAATTTGCAAGTTTATATTAACCATATGTACATACAGTATTATCAAATTTAAAACATATAGTGATACTTTACTAAATAACCTACAATAAATGTTCTATTTTAAGGTGTCCACAGAAATAAGTGAACCTTCTGTGAGAGTAATTATAAATTAGCTAATCAAAAAAAATATACTAACTTCCACAATTATTATTTACTTGAAAAAAAATTTAAATTACAATATTTCAAGATCCAATAAATGTGTATCTTTGAATGTTAGATATTATGAACCTTCTAACCTCATTTATAATATATCTAAATTTGAATATCAATTAATATATAATTTTGTAAAAAATTTTAAATTAACTGATTTTTTTATGGTGCAATATTTATGGAATCTATAAGTAAAAGTAATTAATTAAAATTATTATTTTATCATGTGATTTAATTTAATGCGCGTTAAGAAGACATGATTTAGTAATAAGGATAAAAAAAAATAAAGCTGCTACTATAAAACAGCATGAAATACAGTCGTAAATACAATCAAAAAACATTTTAATAGTAAATTACTATGAAAAAAAAATTTTGATTGTATTTACGACTGTATTTCATGCTGTTTTTATAGTAGCAGCTTAATTTTTAAATCACGTCTTCTTAATGCGCATTAAATTAAATCACATGATAAAATAATAATTTTATTAGAAATTGCAATTTATATAAATTTTAATTAATTATTTTTACTTATAGATTCCGTAAATATTGCGCCATAAAAAAATCGGTTACGTAGTTTAAAATTTTTCATAAAATTATATATTAACTGATATTCAAATTTAGATAATATTTAAAAATCAAAGGTACGCATCTATTGGATCTAGAAATATTCTAATTCGAAATTTTTTTTCAAGTGAAACAATAATAATGAGAGTCAGTGTAGATTCACCAATGATAAAATAGCTGTATCTCATGATCCACTGGGCTAATTTTAATGACTCTGCCACCGTTAGAGCCTCTATGATTTTTATTAAAAAATTTAATAAAGTTTGCTAGTAAATTTTTTTTTAATATCAAATATAAAAAAGTTTGGCACCTGCATATCCTCCATTCTTAAACTGTCGTACAAATAATTTTATTGCAGGGTGCAAAATGTATATACGTATATATTTATTTATATATATATTGTGTTATATTTAGATTTAATTTCCTTAATTAGTCTCGAAGCGTATAGCCCCTCACATATATTTGACATTCACATGAAAGTCCGATGATTCGCAAATCACAAACATATAAAAGTTTCCTCCTCTACATTTCCTAAATTGCTTGCACTGCAAATAACCTTTCTCAAAGCCACATTAAAAATTTTTACATGACAATGGCTTCTGGAATTCCACCATCTTCTGATAAAAATTATTTTTCTGAATGGGAACAAATATGTTTAGAATTTTTTAGCAATAACGATAAAGATGCTGAAGCAGTAGTTGGGCTTGTAGAATTTGCATCACGTTCTAATAGAGAAGTCACCGTCAACATCGATTCTATCGATAAAAATTTGAGAAAGGAAAAAATTGAAGAATTACTAGCAAAAATTGGCTTTGTTAATGGAGTAATGCTTCATCCTCAAGAGTTTGATAAATATCTTGAAACTAAACGAAAAGTTCGATCCGAATTTCACCGAAAGAAAGCCATCGAACTTTTCAAAGAATTAGATAAACTGTTACATTCAAAACCTGCTAAATACACACCACTTCACCGACTTTCAGAACTTGAAACTTATCTTACACAATATAAGACGTCAGTTGGAGCTCTTCCGTTTATAAAAGGATTATTGCATGTTTTTAAACTTCAATTGCACCAATCTACACTTGCTTCATGGACTTTTTTAGATAATACTTTAACCCAAAACGGGATCGACTTTATGAGGGCTACAGTTAATTTGTTAGTCAATGTATTAGGGTTTGTGCATACGGTTCAAGAAGCCGATGAAAGTGGGGAACAAGGTAGTCTTCGTACGTGGTATATTGATAATACATTAAGTGATTACGAAATTTTAATACTTATCAAGAAATTCCCCAAAGAAACATATTTTAGTAATGTTAGAGCAACAGGCTTAATAGAACTATCTTCTCAACAACGTTCCCCAAATTTAATTAAAACTTCAAAAGGAAACATTGTTGGAAAATTTTTTTTGTTTTGGTGGAATCTGTTAAGATGGTTGTTTAGTTTTTGTTTCGGATTGGTTAAATCTAGAAAAGTTAGGGACGAAACATTACCAGATATTTAATGCATTTTCGTATTTTAACATAATATGAACATTAATATGATTCTTCAAATACTTAAGCTATTAGATTTTTAATTTAAGATTAAATATATTCTTATTTTCGTGTTAATGAATTCTGAATGTCTGCTTATTTAATATCTATATAATTATATTTTATATATCGTAATTTCTTAATTCAAAAATATCAAATTTTATACTCAAAATTATTTGATTATTTATATAATTCTGTATTGTATTTGCTCACAACATTGGCTTGTTTAAATTAATAAATAAACAAATCTGAAAATTTCATTTAGCTGAAATTTTTTTCCAAAAAAAGGAATTCATCAAGTGGTGAATACCGACATTCTGGTACATAGTTGATCGATTATCGGGTCCAAATTAATCACGAGACCACAGAATAAAATAAGAATCTTCGTCCTCATACGTTTTTCGACAGTCTAACGTGGGGTCTGCAAAATGTCGTTTCCATCTTGGCTTATCGACGATGCCAGCTGCGGAACATCAAATCCTGTTTCGGGTCTGATGAAGCAGCTTGTGCAAGACAAGTCTTCGCAACGAGTAAATGTCATTTGTGTCGGCATGGATAATTCATTCTAAATCTTTTACTTATAAACTTTCTTGGTCGTGTAGGATAGATTTAATTCTGATCAACTGAATGAAGGCTCTTCTAGAAAGGTACAACGCATTATTAAAAATTTCGTGTTCTTAATTGTTTTCAATTATATAACCTTATATATACTTTAGACTTTTAGGACACATACGAACGTAGAGGCACATAAGCATGAGGTATACAATAATAATTTTAATGAAATTTCTATGCACTTGTTAGATTAAATTATAACTTTTAAAATATTATATTAGTACGAAAAGTTTTTCGTTCAACCGGGTCGCGAACCTGATGTTTACGATTTAGATCAGATGGGCAAGGAACTTCAAACAATTATACATGATACACAAGACAACGAAAATTGGGTTCACAATTTTCTAAATCAACCTAATTTGATAAATGATGATCCTTTAAGTCGTAATGTAGCTTTTGAAAAGATTTTTAATGATGCTAATGTTCAAGGTACGTAAGAAGTTGAATCTTAACTTCTGTAATTCACAGATATTTAATTACTTTTGTATAGATGAATGGATCAATATGTATCTATCTACAAATCAAAATCCTAGCAGGTTACCTCCGGATGAATATGCTGCATTTGAGAGTGCTTTCCATGATGCAAATAAAAGTGAGAATCTTCTGTTCCTTTAAGTTCGTTGATGTGCTTATTAAACTTATATTATCTTTTGAAATAGACGTGGATTGGGAATCTGAATTTAATGCTATAGAAAAAGCTAATTTGATTTCTCAAGATAAATTATGGACAAATGAATTTCAGCAACAAAATGTTTCTCAAGATAAATCATGGGCAAATGAATTTCAGCAACAAAATGATGATGAATCAAATACAAGTGATTCAAAAGAAGCATTAGCAAAGAGCGCTGGAAAATTAATCGAAATGATACAAGACGAAACAGATCCAAAATTTAAGAATTCGTCCTTTATAAAATTTATGAAGCAATTGCGTGATAATGAAGTTTCTTTAGAAGGAAATAAAGTTGTTGAACAAAAATCACCCGTATCCAACGGCGACTGGGCATCCGATTTTAGTACCCAGAATCAAAATAGTTGGGCTTCAGAATTTAATTTAAACGGATAAAATATAATTTTTTTTTTTATTTTAATAAAATTGGTTTAATTCATGGGAAATTATAGGCATCTCCCCTGGTCCATTTACCCAACAGCACGTGATAATTGATCGATCAATCAGATGAGAAAATTTGATCATACATATCGGATCAGCCCGAAATAAAAGAAACAACCAGCCAGTCTAGACCTATTTAGGAACATTAATAAAACATGTCGAGAAGACAATTAATTTGAGTATTCTAGCCCTAATTTTTTTTTTTTTTAAACTGTTAAAACCACGTGTTGTTGGGTATTTAGATGTATCCCGGAAGTAGGATGTCCAGGATTATGATCCGGTAAATGCCAAATTATGCATCCGTAAATTGCAAGTTATGCGAATTATGCGAATTTTGAGTTATTAGCCAATAAAATTTCAAAAAGAACCCAAGTCAGGTGATTACAGGAACCGGTTTATTCATTTAACCAATCAATTTTTGTTTTCATGCTGCATGAAAGTGAGCGGATTATGCGATTTCATATATAGTAAAAATCGCAAATTATGCGCATATTATGCCGGATCATAATCCTGGACACCCTACCCGGAAGATATCCCAAAATTATTTGGTTTATTTATGCTACGTACTATGATAGCGATTAGATTGGGCTAGGGATAGAGAAAATATGTGGGTGTAGGAGGTCCCCGAATAATAAATATATTGCACTTTATTTTGGAATAAACCATATTTTGTATATATGCTTTAATATTAATTTACTTTTAGCCAAATTTTAAATATATCCTATCTTTTTCTTACAACTCGTGAAAAAAATTTTTTTTTTTTTGAAATTTATCTATTTTATTCATTTTTAATAATATAACATTAAGGACCATTATCCACTTTTTAAATATAACATTTTCAAATATAATATTTTTGCAAAAAATTATCTTTTTAGCCCAAATTTCAATCTAACCTTTAAATGTATTATTCGGAGCCCTATCAGATGCTACTGTTGATGTCTCTCATGTGTATTATCATAACTGCTGCGTAATTAATTTCTGAAGCTGTTTCGAGTCGATTCGAGTTTAACACCTTAGTAACTATACAACTACCCCAGGATCGCCAACAAAATTTCTATGTAATTTTTACCATCACGTGATGATCGACGAAAATAAGCCAATAA